GACAAAGAGACACTGTGGACAGAACTGAGGTGCAGAAGTCACAGATGCCTTGGGATGTGGGTGACCAAACGGGGAAATACCATTTTGGGGGGACAGGCCTCTTTCCCCTCTTGGGAGAGCTTTCTGAATGGAACCTTGGAAAGCAAACATTCCCCTCATTTTATGTGAAGAAACTGAGGCTCAGGGAGTGATTAGAACTGGACAGTCCCTGAATGTTGGCAGAACTATTGGGCATCTTTTCAAACTCCCAGAGCAGTGCTGAGGATAAAGAAACTTCCAGAAGAGAATGTGGGGACAAATTCTGTCTCTCTATTCTATCTACCTCATATACTATCAGTTCTTATTAAGCTCCTAGCTTGGGAAACAATTAAACTGGTGGAACCAGAGACTCAGCATTTATAGCCCCCAAGGCTGCCAAATGTGGATGGCTTCGAGGAGGATTTGACACAACCACGGAGTGTTGGCCCAGTCATTGTGAATAGTCAGCAGACGTCTGAAAAACATGATGCAAGTCAGTATTTTGAGCCAAGAGTGCTAGCACTTTGAGTAAGTACTTGCTGAAATGAATAAACATGCCATTGCAATTAAGGGCTTTAGAAAAAGAGTTGGAACCTACAATAAAGTTAGCATTTTCCATTGGAAGCAAACACTTGGGAGATCAATGAGCTCGGAAACTGGAAAGATAGAAGTCTCTTTGGTCCAGCTTGCACTAGAGGTATCATGGAAACAATCTTAGGCATGCATCTTTATTTTTTACCATTTCCTTGGTGCTCCAGGAAGCTACTTAGCTGCCACTGTTACCATATTTACTGCATTAAAGCCATTTCTCACCATTTCAAAGTTTCTCCTAGCCAGTATCTATCCCACCACTGCAAATCTGCTTGTCCCCATCTAGCAGCAGACGTATTACCCATTGCTTTAAAAGCACAGTTCTAGGAACTTCCCTGGTAGTCCAGTGGCTAAGTCTCCATGCTTCTAATGCAGGGGGCCTGGGTTTGATCCCTGGTTAGGGAACTAGATCCCATATACCTCAACTAAAGATCCCGCAAGCCACAACTAAGACATGGCACAGCCAAATAAATAAATAGATAATTTTTGTTGTTGTTGTTAAAGCACAGTTCTAGGCAGAACACTGACCATCAGAAATCTGTCAGCCAAAGAATTCTGACCCCTGAAACTTTCCCTCCTTGATTCCATTTTCCACTCACCTCTTTTCCCTATAAAAACTCTTTAGTATGCTTGCAAACATATTTTCTTCTGTTGATGATTTTTGAAGCCCTCAGGTTTTGCCTCTGGAAATTTAGAAAAGTCAACATTTACTTGGTACCTGTCCTGGAGGCTGTTATCAGTCATACAGAATCAAGTTCTCAGGTTTTTCCTCAGCATTCCTTTATTACAAACACTTTATAATAAAGTGTTTGTTGCGCAGTCATGTCCAACTCTTTGCAACCCCATGGACTGTAGCCCGCCAGGCTCCTCTGTCCATGGAATCCTCCAGGCAAGAGTTCTGGAGTGGGTGCCATTCCCTTCTCTAGGGGATCTTCCCGACCTAGGGATCAAACCCCGGTCTCCTGCATTGCAGGCAGATTCTTTACCATCTGAGGCACCTGGGAAGCCCTCCTTTATTACAACTGCCACTTAAACAATGTGCTCTTATTAATAGCAGTCTTTGTAAAGAAAACGACGATAAAGGACTCTTTAGTTGTCCCCCACAAGTGTTTTACACTGTGTTCTCAAATTCAGAGTCAGGCTCGGTCTTCTTTTCTAGCACTTTCCAACACACTGCTACTCCCCTCACCCCAGGGATTATTATTGTGATAATAGTATCAAAACATTATTAAATATTACAATATCCTGGCATGTAAAAATGCATATTTTCTTCTCTACAAATCAACCACCATGGAGCATTGCAAACAAAAATTAAATGGCAACAAACAGAGGGTCTGGAACTAAAAGTATTCTACTGCCAGAGTCCTATCTGCACCCAGGCAGCAGAGACATGGCTTCAAGCAGGCTTACAGGCCACCACGGGCAAGCTGGAGGCAGAGAAGAGGAAGCAGGAGAGACCCGTCATGGAACCCCACCTTGTTCTCAGGGGAACACAGCCATGAGCACTGAGGAAATGAGTGCTGCCATTGGGGTGGATAGATCTGCTATTCTTGGCCTTTAAATCTTCCATGGAGAAACAATTGAGAAAGTTCTGTGAAGGCTGGTTCCACTGAGAACAGCACTCTTCCTTAGATCCCTTTGCACTAAAATGGGGTTTCAGGGACTTTGCAGATTTTCCCTTCACTGAAGTGAGAAATCACCATAATAGGAGAGAATACAGAATCATCAAAAAGTGGTTTGGTCCATTTACAAAAGTCTGGGAGTTTTTGAAGAAAGTATCCCCAAAGTAGGTCAGGTACAAAAATAGTAACCAGCTCAATTCATTTTTAACAGCTTAGGTTTTACTCTGGAGGCTGCCATGTGGTTGATGGGTAACCTCTACATGTGGACTCTTACTGATAAGCCCCCTAGAGAAGTTCTCTCTCTTTCATCCCTTCTCCCACCCCTACCTCTGGCACTCTCCATTGTTTAACAGAAGTAAGAGCTAGCTCATGCCAAAACAAACAAACAAACAAACAAAAATTAAATTTAAAAACCCAACCAAACAAACCCCAAAACCCGAAATAGCCATTACTGGGGATCTACTCTGAGCCTAACATCACGCTTGATGCTGGCATATGACGACAACTAAGACACATTTTCTACCCTCAAATAGTTCACCATCTGGCATAAAGCAAGACATGCAAAGAGATATTAGTAACACAGTGAGAGGTGCTGTATCTATGTAGCATATCATGGGGACATGAAGGAAGAAGTGGTCAGTTCTGCCTGTGGAGCTGAAAGGGCTTCCCTGGCTGGATCTTGAAAGATAGATGGGAGTTCATGAAGTAAAGCCTCTTGCGGGTGTGCGCGCGCACGCGTGTGTGTGTGTGTGTGTGTGTGTACACGCGTGCATGCACATGTGTGTGCTTGTGTACTGTGGGGTGCTTGTAAGCAAAAGCAGCCATATAAGTAAGGCCCTTGGCACCTAAATAAACTTAATCTGTTGGGGAGGACTGGCCAGGAGTTTAAAATCACTAGAGCATAGAATTGTGTGTGTGTGACAGAGAGGAAGAAAGCAGTAGGAGATAAGCCTGGAGAGGTGAGCAGGGTCGATTGAGGAGGACTTGGATACCATTCTAAGAGCTTGGACTTGATCCTGTAGGTCATAGAGAGACACTGCAGGGTTTTAAGCAGGGAGGTGTCATGATCAGATTTGTGCTTTGGAAAGATTTCTGTGGTAGTATTTGCTTGCTCCTTGGAAGAAAAGCTATGAGAAAGCTAGACAGCATATTAAAAAACACAGACATCATTTTGCTGACAAAGGTCCATAAAACAACCATAGTCAAAGCTATGGTTTTTCCAGTAGTCATGTACAGATGCGAGAGTTGGACCACAAAGAAGCCTGAGTGCTGAAGAACAGATGCTTTTAAATTGTGGTCCTAGAGAAGACTCTTGAGAGTCCCTTGGACAGCAAGGAGATCAAACCAGTCAATCCTAAAGGAGATCATACCTGAATATTCATTGTAAGGACTGATGTTGAAGCTGAAGCTCCAGTACCTTGGCTACCTCATGTGAAGAGCTGACTCATTGGAAAAGACCCTGATGCTGGGAAAGATTGAGGGCAGGAGGAGAAGTGGACGACAGAGGATGAGATGTTTGGATGGCATCACCAACTCAATGGACATGAGTTTGAGCAAACTCCAGGAGATAGTGAAAGACAGGGAAGCCTGGCATGCTGCAGTCCATGGGGTCATAAAGAGTCAGACACAACTTAGGAACTGAACAACAACTAGAGCCGTGGGATAAGCTTTCATAATCAGTGCATTTACCAAAGCTCTTCTGGTCATATTATTGGATTCAGAATCTCAGGATATCCATGTTTAGCTCTTGAGATGGCATGTTAATCTTTTTCTTCCTTTTTTGTGTATTTACATGCATGTCTTGTTCCCCGTCATGATCCTGATTATCTACTCCTTCCCCCAAACAGAGGCTTTCAAGTTGCTAGATATGGTGGAAAATTGGGATTTGGACAGAATTTTAGCCATCTGTTGGGATACAAATCCCTGACCTTAAAAGGTGGCTCAATTTGAGTCTTCCTTCCTCAAATGTAACTTTTGAGCCTATTTTATCTGTAACCGTACCACCAGGGCTGCTGCTGTGAGAATCAATTGACATGATACTCTTAGGGAAATATCGCCTGTCACATTGTAACTGTTCAAACAGTGTAAGGAATGATCTTGTTGATTTCAAATTCCTACTCAGCCTGCAAGAAACAAGGTTCAAAGAAGGATGAAGACATCCACAAAAATTTGTCTAGAGAAGGGAGTAAGAACAGAACCTGCTTTATGCTGGTTTTCCTCTTGCTGCAGCAACCTCCTGAATCCAACAGCGGGCCTGTCTAGGTATATGAAGCCAGCTTGTAGCAGAAACCACAGTACAGAATGCAGGAGCTAGGTGAGAAAGGGTTGGGTAACACTCCACCTGTCTGAACTGGTCTAGTTATCACCAAACTGCAGGTGAGGACTAGGGAAATAAACCCTGCCGTGAAACACTGCAGCACTGGCCCCGCTGAGAAATGGTCACCTTCAGAATAAGAAGCTTGACTATCCATGTTCTAGACTGCAGGGGCTGATACAGGGTAACCTCTCTGGTTGGGGGAGGGGGGGGCAGGGGCGGTGGAGCCTGTGGGCAGAGGACTGGGAAGGGGGAGAGAGAAAGCATTGTGTCCAAGTGTAACTTAAAACCATTACAGGTTTTTCTTTTTTTCCCCCTTTTTTACAGCCTCCCTCCCCCTTCACACACAGAAAGAAAGAGAGGAAGACAAAGGAAGGAAGGAAGATACCACCTGCTAATGCAGTCTCTAATTGGCAAGCCAGAGTTCTTTCTCTTCCTAAGAATGACCCAAGAGAATGCTGGGTTTCAGGACCATCACTCCCATTGCTGGTAAAAGTCTGTCAGGCAGGGTGCTGCAGGCTAGAGCTGCAGGGAGCTTAGGGTGGGGGAGTGAGGGGGTCGGGAGAGGGGGTGTGGGGGCTGGCAGGGGCAAGAATCCACTTCCTTGTCATGCCTTTAAACTCATCAACCAGAAGTGCTCAAACTCAATGTATTCTCTTCCCCCTTTGGTTTTTTTCATAATGGGAAAAAAAAAAAAAAGGCGATGTTAAAGTTTTGAATTAAGAAACAGCTGCCACCTGGGTAATTGAATTCTGCTTAAAGCAGGCCACCTGGTTTTCAGCAGCAGCTCCTGGCAGGTATGGAGTGCCAGCCGAGGTCTTGCATTGACTTCTAAATGCAGGCTCGCAGTCCGTGCACAGTGCAGAAACCTTCATTTCTGAGTAGCGAAAGTGGTGTTCTATCAGGTTACCTCAAGACATGGTAGATTTCTCAGACTGAAGACATTTAGAATTAAAGCAGTTGTGTTGGTCCCAGCCATTCCTGGTCACATGCTACCTTAAAAAAAAAAAAAACACCAAAACACAAAAACTGAAAAGCTGGTTTTCTTTGGCTCCCTGTTTGGACATCCATGTCATAGAAATATGTGTGAGTGAAATCACCTTGCTTTCTTAGAGGTTTCGGGAGGCTGAGTGTCTCCAGTTCCTTGGATGGTGGAAAGCGGGGTGGGCAGCCTGGGAGGAATATCAGGTGTCTATGGGCTGGATGCCATGCTCTGCCTTTCTTAGCCGGCTTCTCAGTTGTCACCCCTGCGCCTCAAAGCGAGGCACCATCAAGCAGCATGAATGGGGTTGCAGTCCTGTTTCCTGACCTGAGACGCCCACACACCAGGAACAGTCAGTACCTTTTATGCAACTCCTAACCCCGCCTCCTGTTTACATGCAGAGCAGAGCTGGTGTCAAGCAAGAGGGTTGGCTAGGACAGAGATATAAAAAGAAACAGAATGCTGGGAACTTGGGTGGTCTTGAGCAAGTCCTACACTTTTCTTCAAGCCTGTTTCCCTGAATCTGAAATGTGTATAACAGAACTGAGTACAATTAGGAGCCGTGTTCAGGCAACATGGGATACTAGAGTTGGGGGTAGAGCTCTGCGCTGGACAGAAATCTTGCTCACAGGCAGTTATGTTTTACAAGGGACGCTGAGCTTATGGAATGAGACTTCTACACCACAGATAAGCTGGTCTGCTCTCCTTTACAGAGGAATCAAGTCTGCATATGCTTTTCCTAGTATGACCGACCACCTGCTTAATGTCAAAATGAGACCCCAGTCACTTATCTTTCCAGCACGCTATGCTGTTTGCTTTGCTTTAGGACCACTTGAAAACATCTACGCAAGGACAGAGCTGTTTTGCTTCCAAACCAAAAACTGAGGGTTATCCAAAACATGTAATTTAAAGAGCCAGCTTTTTGAAAATAGAATTTTCCATGATGTACTGGGTACTCACATAGGTTCATCTTAAAAATCTTGACCTCTTTTCACATCAAGGGAGCTATATCTGAATGCACACACACACAAAGATACACACACATAGACAAAACACATACTATTATTTTGAGTTTGAGAGAATTCAAGGAAGCCTTGGATGGTGTCAGTGTAAAATTCGATTAAAATCTCTTGCAGGGGTCCCAGGCTTTGGACAAGGCTCCTTCACTTCTTTCCTGGGAAGCCCATTCTCTGTTCAGGGACCGTCTCCCGGACCTGGCATCACCCCTGTATGGGGTTTCCTCAAGCTGCTAGGTGACAATGCGCAGCTTCAGTCCATGGCCATCTTGGCTCCAACATCCTCGAATTTCTCTTCCTTCTGCCAGCTGATGGAGGAGCATTTGAAAAAGAGCACAGAGGGCAGGAGCATGTGGGCCGGGACTGGAAGCAGAGCTGGGGCAAGGCTTGGGCGGATAACAGGGGCCAGGGGAGGGGAGAGTCTGAGGCAGTTGGAGTAGCCTCCAGTTGCCTGGTCCAACTCCCAGCAGGCTCTCTTCTGCTCCCTCGGCCTGGCTCAGATCTCGTTTCTTAATCCAATAAAGGGGCACTTGCCTAAATTTGAAAAGGTGCCATAAAATTATTTTATCCACCATATCCTGTCCAGAAGCAGTTAAGTTCCAATTTCCTCTTCAAAACTAATTTCTGTCTGATACGGCTCTTTCAGTATTGATCTACAATCAGTAATATATTATAGCCTCTGAAGCATTACTGTCTCATTACTCTCCTCTTTCTTGCCAAATGGACAGTGTCTCAAATCTCCTCTTTATTTCGCCCACTCTTGTTTCTCTCTCTGCTGCCACAACATCCATCTATCCACAGCCATGCCTTAACACAGAGCAGCCTCTCCTGGCTCCTCTGATAATTCTAATCAGAAAAACTCCATCTGCCCGAATCTGGATCATGTTTAATGTACAGAAAAGCAGATCCCCACACTTTGGAATAGTGGTGGTGGGCGGTGTAGTACTGATTCTAGATCCTTCTGCTGGGGGGCTGGGAGGACCCATAAGCCCCAGTGCCCTCGAGGTAAGAGCTTCTGGGTTAGTGGCAAAGTGCCTACCTTTTTCAACACAGGGATCAGAGATTTCTTTGGTAACCTCATTTTCCTTTTTAAGGCTGCCCCTCTTACCATAAATCATACCCCACTGGTAATAAAATGTTGCCTTTTGGGGGGAGAACTACATTATGCTTTTCTCTAGGTGCTGCCTACAGCCTCTAAAAACATTAAGAAAACAAGTCTGGTGAAATATTGAAGATTTTCACCCTAAAGTTGGGAATGAGTGATTGTTACCCATTACCACCACTTCTACCACCATTAACAGAAGTCCTGAGACCAGCTGCTCAGCCCATGCCTCTAGCAACTGCCGCCTCCTTCCTACAACTCAGCTGTGGTCCACACCCTTCTGTTTCTCCATCACTAGTGGACTGCATGTTTCTATGGCAGCCAGACCTCCAAAGAAGTCTGAATCTCCATTCCCTTTCAGGGGATTCTTTTAAGTTTCCATGCATCTGGGCTTCCCCTGTGGTCCAGTGGTTAAGAATCAGCCTGCCAATGCAGAGGACTCAAGCTCAATCTCTGGTCCAGGATGACATGGGGTGACTAAACCTGTGCACAACTGCTGAGCCCATGTGCCACAACTACTGAAGCCTATGCACCCTAGAGCATATGCTCTTCAACAAAAGAAGCCACTGCAATGAGCAGTCCACACACCACAGCTAGAGAGTGAGCCACTACTTTCCGCAGCTAGAGAAAGCTTGCACGCAGCAACAGACACAGCCCAGCCAAAAATAAACAAATAAATAAAAAATAAAAAGTTTCCAAGTATCTTCACACTTTCTATTCCTCTGCCCCAGAGGTCATAGATCCTTTCTACAGTGGCTCCTTCTGTACCCCCTAGAGGCATATCCAAGATTCTGAATGTTCACCTTTTTACTAGTTGTAAAAAAATTTTTATATTAGAATTTTTCCATTCAAAGTCTGGTCTGGTTTTTATCTCTCCATTGAACCCTGACTGATACCAGACCGAAATAAATGCAAGAATAAATAATGTTCATGGACTGGGAAGACTCACTATTGCAAAGAAGTCATTCTCTCTAAACTGAGCTATAGATTTAAGAAAACAGGCCTCTCCTAAGTGGCATTAGATAACTATAAAATATCCAAAAATAGTTGATTGTTGCTGCAGTATGTTTCTGGAAACCATGTGGAAAATTCTAAATCTAATTTTACCCATGGGATCTGTGTTTTAATTGGATGTTGCTTTTTTAAAGTATTTTTATTTAATTTTATTTTTTTATTAGCCACACAGTGTGCCTGAGGGATCTTAGTTCTCCAACCAGGGATCAAACCCATGCCCCCTGCAATGGAAACAGAGTCTCAACAACTGGACCACCAAGGAAGTCCTGGATGTTGCATCCTTGACCAAAGACTTGGCCTCAGATAAATCAGAGATGCTAAATATGTCATAGAAGCAAAGATTCAGATGTTAAATTAGTTGCTTTCAACCCTGGCTGAGCATTAGAATTAGCAAACAAAATTAAAAAAAATAAGCAAATCAGTGCCTGGGTCTCAATGGTAACAAGTTAAAGCCAAATATATATAGACATTTAAAAAAAAAGAAATGTATTTATGGCTGTACTGGGTCTTCATTATTGGGCTTTCTCTAGTTGTGGGTGCAGGCTTCTCATTGCAGTGGCTTCACTTGCTGCATAGCATGGGCCCCAGGGCTTGGGCTTCAGTAGTTGCAGCACTCAGGCTCTAGAGTATGTGGGGCTTCATTCTTTACGGTGAGTGGGCTCAGTAGTTGTGGCTCATAGGCTTAGTTGCCCCTTGGCATGTGGAATCTTCCCTGACTAGGGATAGAACCTGTTTCCCCTGCATTGGCAAGTGGATTCTTAACCACTGGACCACCAGGTAAGTCCAAAGCCAAGTCTTCATAGGTGAGCTCAGGTAATTATTATTATTTTTTAATCAAGAGCTATGACAAAAAGAAAGAAACAGCTGTCATTTGGGACTTAAGATTTATTGCTTCTCCAAGTGGAGATTTAGAGATCCCACAGGGGTGAATGAGTCATCTTACATGGTAATAAGACAATGCATATTGCATCTACTGTCTGAATGTGAACTAGTGCCCTCAAGGTACAATGTCCTAAGGCAGATGGTTGATGAGTTAATGAGTATTATATCTCTGTATGAGGAATTTGCCTTGGAGCCTCTGGAAAAGAATTTTTGCAGTACCTGTTCTTAAGAGGTGTTCAAGGTAAAAAGAGCGCAATGATTCTAAAATTAGACAAGTAATTTAAAACATGGAATAGTGGCCTTTGCTGATGATAGCATTTGTATCTAAGGTGATTGCAACCAGAAAATCCAGTTATTTGGAAATTGTGGTAATCCAGAGATACATTTAAGGATTTTCCCCTTCCCTTGGCAAAAGGCTGGTGATGGCTGTGACGCAGGGAGGTGGAGCCTTGCCTTGGCCTCAGGGTCTCCTCCAGGTGCAGTGAGGAAGCTGGTCCCTGAGAGAACAGCCACCAAGAGGCTTCAAGGAGAGACCAGCCCTGGAGCTTATACAACTCCAAGAGATTGGCTTCTCTTTTAGATTCCAATTCTCTGTCATGAGTTATGAGATTAGAAGCAGGCACTTCATGACACCTCGAAGTTTATCCATTTTAAAATAGAAAAGTTATATCTATTCCCTATCTACCTCTAAAGATACTTTAGAGACAAATTAAATTCTATTGAAAAGCTATCTGAGCATTTTAATATTTTTTCTGATTATGAGAGTGACATTTATTGTGTAATTTATGGAAATTACAGAGAGATAGTTCTATAATCAAGAAAATAAAACTCAACCATAGTATCACTTATAACCTCACCAATCATTTTAAACAAAACACAAATGAAGAACATTCTCTGTATGCAGTTTTCTATCCTTTTTTTTATAGATTTCATAATGAACATTGCTGTTTTATCTTAAATTTTCCTTAAAAAATACTATTTAATGGCTATATAATATTCCATTTTATGGCATGATGTGTTTATTCATGGTGAAATATACAATATGACTATTTTTAAAATATAAGGAAAAGTTAATAATCCAAGAAATTTTGGTTACTATTATTTATAACAGTATATTTCAAGATTTAAAAAATGTACATGGAGAAGGAAATGGCAACTCACTCTTATATTCTTGCCTGGGAAATCCCATGGACAGAGGAGCCTGGCAGGCTACAGTCCATGGAGTCGCAAAGAGTAGGACACGACTGAGCAACTAATACTTTCACTTTAAAAAATAAAAAATATACAGATACCAATTGGAAACAATCTCAGAATCATGGAAAACAAGATTTAAAAAATACAATCGAGAACAATTTTATTTTTAAAGGTCATCTCACTCACAAAGGACACAGAGAACATGCAATAATTGCCTCTAACTACATTTCCATTGACTTCTGAGTGGTAATTTTATATTTAATACCCCCTACTCGTTTGACTTAAGGTTTCAGTGTTATCATTTCGTTTTAAAAAAAAAAGTGATTTAATTAGAAATCTGCCACCTTTCCAGTCCTATCCTCTTCATTCTTTCTCTTGAAAAATAAAGTGAGAGGGGTAGGAGCAAATGAAAAACAGAACAACTGATTATTATTTTATATTAACTCTCCTCCCTCCCCAATGTTACCCACCATATGCAATGAATAAAGAAGCTGGAAAAACCCAAGAGAATAAGGAAATATTCAAAGTTTCTTTTAAGAACTTTGTAACTTGTTGCATTACTCATTTATTCAAGACCATTGCCATGGGCTCTATATTTCAGATTACTTAGTTTATCTGAAAGATAAACTCAGGAATGTGTGGATTCACTGGAACTAAGGGGTTAAGTCAGGGCAGCCCCAACCACTGTGTTCATCCTTCTTAACACTGGAATTCCAGGCAGATCAATTCAAAGTGCTCCTTGAGATAGCACTTAAGTGAGTAGTTGCTTATTATAGCAAGTTCCATCTAGCAACTCCACTTCCGCCACAAAGGTCAGCTGATGCCCAAGTGTGATTCGAGGAAACAGGAAGGATCTGTTGCTCCTTTTCTGATAGGTCTGGGCTCCCTTCATTCACTCAAAAAGTGTTCATTGAGAGTCCACTCTGCGCATAGCACTGGTCTAAGCACACAAATGAGATAGACCAAGTCCTGGCTGTTGTGTGGTTTCTAGCCTAATGGAAAAGATGAACAATAGGAAAGCAAAAGAGGGATTCCTATTCGTTCCAGCTCTGCTTTAAACACATGTAACATCACCTTGGTAGCTCAGGCAGTAAAGAATCTGCCTACAATGCAAGAGACCCCAGTTCAATTCCTGGGTTGGGAAGATCCCCTGGAGAAGGGCTAGGCTACCCACCCCAGTATTCATCGGTTTCTCTGGAGGCTCAGATGGTAAAGAATCTGCCTGAAAAGTGAGAGACCTGGGTTCGA